TCAGCTCTAGGGGCCCGACGCACAGTGCGTCGTTTGCTTCATGCTAGATCCGCCACTGGATTTCATGCGACCAACGCCTGGTCCCATTTGAATGGGATTTGTCGGGCGTTTTCAAACGACTTTCGGTCATATTGTGGATAGTTATGGATTGTGAGAAGCTAATTTGCGAGGTGAGAGAAAGACTTAGAGAAAAAAAAGCATCATGGGATATGAGAGACAGCAGATATCATGCTAGAGACGTCCAACCCAGGGGTGTTTCACCCACTTAAATGTGTACACCTACTGTATTTGACTGCATTGATTGCATCAAAGACTTGACTGAATTTTTACTTTTGAGCATTATCTAACAAGATTGCAGGCTCCAGCGGTTTTCCAAATTTTCATTTCAAATCGAAAAAATCTGGGTGGACTGTTTCGCTTAATAAAGTGCATTTTGTGGTTATTTTGTGAATGAACTTTGTTTATTTTTTTATTTTATTGACTTCATTAGTGTTTCTTCCAATTAAAAATGCCACAAATGTGTCTTGTAGCTGATTGTGGAAGTAGTTTCGTTTCAACAAGGTAACAAGGATGAAGTCAGGTTTTCTTCAGTGCCCACCGTTTTCCAATTACAGGTGAAAATCATTGTGTGCCACTGTCCCTGCATCTAAAATAAAGCCGTAATCGACACCTATTCGTAAGAATCTAAGCTTTTGTAGGCCTTCATTTGCTCATACTGTTAGCCCATATCCCGATTTTCCTGCATTAAATTCTTCAAATACTCACTCTGCATCTCGTAAAGTATATTATAACAAAATAAACTGTAATTAGCTCGAAAATATTCCGAATAAACTCAAGATAAACAAACGTCAAATTTCCCACAGCTGCCATATTGAAAAATCACGTGGTTTGGAGAGCCTAATAGTCCTAATACGTCAATTTCATGTACCATCGTCACCAAAAGTAACTGGGACAGCATCATATTAGCTCTTGTACTATTATATACATTTTATTGTCAAATATTTATCAAATCATCAAATGCATCGAAATGAGTGACAGTAAAATTAGTCCAGAGTCCAGGAGATTATTATGCATTATTTTTGTCCCAGATACTTTTGGTGACGATGGCTTCGTCACCAAAAGTATCTGGAACAGACGATGGTACAAATAGGAAATGCCTTCCTATCCTAACCTAATTTTATTTGTGTACTCAAGAACCGGTATTAAAAAGACTAGGTATATTATCTATACCATACCCATTATTGTCCAAATAGAGAAAATTTTGCCGGCAAAGTATTTCAGCTGTCATGAAAGTTTGTTGTTTGGCAATTTCGTGAATGTTATTTGGCATGAGTTTTCCACGAGAAAAACAAGCCAAAGTTCAACAAAGCCTGGTTTTGAGTATTTAGATGGTGATCAGAATCTAGCTGTACAATGGTTTTAGCGAATTCGCGTTTGCATAACAGTAAATTCCAATTCTTTCTGCTGAACTTTTGGCCTTAGTCAAGGTGTTTATTCCTAATGCAGTGGTTTTGAACCAATATCTCGTCTGACAATTCGGATAAACAGTGAGAAATATTCTGTTTTAATTTTTCGTCCCCTCTATTCTATTAATTTGAGAAATAATCTCACAGGGCATAAATTCACGCCTGATGAATTTTTAACCAAACATTTGCTGGCTATCAATCCTGACCCATCTTGGGCTGTTTCAGAACCTGTTAAGGGCCCCACACACTACGTTCTCTCTCGTCGGTTTTCATCGTCGCGATTAACAAGGTCGTGTTTCATCGTCAGCCTGTTTTCACCACACACTACGCGATTTTTTGGCAGTTTGGACCCACATATACTAGGGTTTTGGAACGAAATGTTGAACCGTCGTGCCAAAAATCAAGCTCGGACTGAATTTTAAGCCGACGATGAGACCGACGGTTTTCTACCACACACTTCGGTTTTAAATCGTCGTGTTTCATCGCGGCGATGAAAACCGACGAGAAAGAACGTAGTGTGTGGGGCCCTTCAAGGGCCCCACAGACTACGATGAAACACGACGGTTTCCATCGCCGCCGCGATGAAACACGTCGTTCCAAAACCGAAGTGTGTGGTGGAAAATCACGAGGGTTTTCTACCACACTTCGGTTTTGGAACGACGTGTTTCATCGTGGCGATAAAAACCGTCGTGTTTCATCATAGTCTGTGTGGCCCTATACTCTTCGTCCGATAAATACTCAATACTCCCATGACATCAAACTCCTTTTGAAAATATTGTACTTTGCAGTTTACTTTTGATTTCAGATTCTTTGAAATACCTACTTGTCTTGCAACATTTTTTCCGTCGTATTCCATATAGACTTTGCAGAAAGCTTCTTAGTCTCCGTCATTGCTCTTTTTCATGTTTTACTCGTCTTCCCGGATTTTTGCCAGCTCTATCACGGGATTAGATTTCCGTTCCCGAGCTAATATCGCATTTTTAAAAACTGTTTTCTCTCGAGCTCATTGGTCATCACACTTTCAATCAGTGTTGCCAATGTTGTAAAGTAAGTCTAATGTCTAATAACTGGCACTGTGTTGCGGAATGCATGTTCAGTTAAAAATCAGATGCACAATAAACTTTGACCGTTTGAACCAAAAGTTGGTTGAAAATTGTCACTTTCCCTCGTGGAGAGCAAACAAAATATAATCAGGAGTCATCATTACTCACGGTGAGTATCCTGTTATGTATGTTCGCAAATGCATGTGTTAGATTTGGCGTTAACACTTTATTTAGAGTTCAGGGAATTTTTTCAAAGTTTTCTAACCTATTTTTTTTTTCATTCCTAACTTTGACCACCGGTCATTGGGTCATGTCAAATGATTCGGAAGTTGATTTTTCATTTTTTCGAAATAAAAAGTTAAATTTTTGCTGGCTAAACGTAGGTAGTGGATCAATCGTTTATAGAACCAGAGCAGATAGTTATGAAACTAAAGAATTCTTCCAATAGAAAACAGGGGTTATTTTTTGGAGAACTTCTTCTCAATCCTCTAGAAATAGAGTGAAATTAACAAGTAGAAATTAGGTATAGAGGTTTTTTTTAATGTGTTCTATTTCACGCCAAAGAATAAAGGTTTATTTTATTTGCAATATTAGATTTATGAATGACAATTCCACTCATGTATAAATAATCCCATTTAAACTGTCAAAAATTGTAGTTTGCTAGCGGATAAATAGGAAGGAAGAGAAAATATAACTGGATAAAAAAATCGGATAAATTTTTTGTTGATGCAATCGTTACCATAGTAAAAATTGCATATTAAATTGGTTTTTGAATCATCTGTCAAATAATTGTCACAAAAATTCACAAATTTGATCAATTTAGCCCCGATTTTAGCTTATTAATAGTTATTTGTTTCACTAGGCAGAAAAGTGCAAGAATTATCCAAATAATTAAATTATTTTGACAATTGTCACAGTGGCGGTTCGCCCATATGGGCAAGGTGGGCACCGCCATCCTACTTTGGAGTAGGATTATCTTTGCTTTAATACAATATTTGAAAAGGCCGCGACCTTGAAAATCTAAAAAAAATTGCCCATGGCTGTTTTTTATTTTTGTCGCCCACCCTTACTTGGACACCACGAGCCGCCACTGAATTGTCATTGTCACCATCAATTTCAAATACCAAATTGAGTGAAATTATTACCTGGAACGTTATGACACTGTCACTTTTAATGCCTAGGCAGTAAAAGTCCACTTTTACTGCCTAGGCAGTAAAAATACAACTTTTGATCCTGTCAAGTGTCATTAAAAGGCCGCTTTTACTGTCATTCAGAGAAAAAAGTGTTTTTCTCCAAACGTCAGAAAAACGTCACTTTGTTAACCCTTGTCAAGATGTCAGAAATTTGATTTCTATGCTGCTAGGCAAATCCAGCGGGTTAACACTTGTCGAGGTGGTAGAAATTTAATTTCTATGCTACTTGGCAACCCCAGCGGCAGCAAAAGTACTTTTAGTGCCGCTGGAGCGTCAGTAGAAGTACTTTTAGTGCCGCTCGTACTTTTGCTGCCGCTCAACCATTCACTTGCCCCCGAGCTTACCCCATTCGTTTGGAGAAAAAATAGCGTGTTGCATACGGAGTAGAAGCACTTTTTTGTGCTTCAGCAAGTATTGCAAGCCTCACTACGTTCGGCTCGCAAACCTACCGCTTCAGCACAAAAAAGTAAAGCTTCTACTCCTAATACAACAATATACTATTTGTTATCTGAGATAAATAAATATTTTGTTTTGATTTTACATCCGTGGAATTGCCGTACTAAATACCATTCGAGCTCAGATTTTGAGCAGGATATTTTTTTGCTTGCTCTCTCATACTTACTTTCATGCAATTTATCTCGATCTGTTCAATAAAATCACTCGAGCTGCGCTCTCGTGATTATGTCGGAACAGCTCTCGTTAAATTTCCTGAAAGTAAGTATTCGAGACCAAGCCAAAAAATATCCGGCTAAATCTGAGCTCTTATGGTATTACCTACGACAATATGCAATTTCAGCGGATATAATGCAACTGACTGATTTTAAACAAAAAATTTATGTTATTTCCGTTAGAATTTTAGTTAAAGTTGATTAAATAATAACATTTTGTTAATATGTCTTTGACTTTTGGAGAAAGAATAAATAAATGAGTTAAAATGTTGTAGTTTCCTTATTCCTAACTCGATTTTTATGATTTTTATAGCCTTAGAAATTTTTTAAAAACATTTTTACTGGTCAATCTTACTCTGTGAGGCTGTAACATTAGTTTATTTCAGTTTTTAGATCGGTGGTCAAAGTTACCTTCCCAGGTCGTAACTTTGACCACCATCATAAAAAAAAAAAAACCGGTCTGTGTTGATGGAACCAAAAATATTATTTTATGTCTCTATACTATCAGGTACAGTCCCAATATTGGCACTTTTGTTTGATTTTTGTCGCTTTCAAGTAATGCAATATTACAGTGTAAAGTTGAAAACCGGTCAAAGTTATGTCACTTTACGGTACTTTAATCGTTTCCAGATCGTTTTGTATTCCTACTGGAGAAGCTCGTGCTCTTGGCGAGTGAGAATAGCACTGAACCTGAAAGAAATCCCTTACGATATCAAACCAGTGTCGCTGATAAAGGCGGGTGGCGAGCACCACTCGAACGAGTACAGAGAAATCAACCCCATGGAACAATTGCCCGCCTTGCACATAGACGGGTGCACCTTAGTGGAGTCCCTTAGCATAATGCAGTACCTGGAGGAGACGCGCTTGCAACGCCCTCTGTTGCCTTCTGACGTCGTTAAACGGGCCAAAGTAAGTAATAATTAATATAAGAATTAGATATATTTTTATCCTAATTACTAAATCGTTTTTAGGTAAGAGAAATATGCGAAGTAATTGTTTCGGGGATTCAGCCTTTACAGAATTTGTCCGTCCTCATTCACGTGGGCGAAGAGAAGAAGGACGCTTGGGCTAAACATTGGATTACCCGAGGGTTCAGGGCGGTCGAAAAGCTACTAGGTAGGTAGTGGGTACTAATGAAACGACACAACCGATAATAAAAAACAATGTTCCACAGGTTCCAGCGCTGGAAAGTACTGCGCCGGCGACGAAATCACTCTGGCCGATTGCTGCCTGGTACCCCAAGTGTTCAACGCCCGGCGATTTCACGTCGACCTAAGGCCTTTTCCTATCATTTTGCGAATCGATAGAGACTTGGAACGGCATCCCGCTTTCGTCGCTGCCCATCCCAGCAACCAGCCAGATTGTCCTCCGGACACTAAATGATAAGATTTTGTAATAAATTAAAACGTTTAATAAAATGGGGTTTTCAATTTAGTTCAATCAGCAATCAGCAGCAGTACTAGACTTCAGTACTTACTCAATGCACTTTGCGAAATGCAAATCTTTGTCTTGTTACAAAGAACTTTAGATTATTTGTATACTTTAAGGAAAAGATAACCTAGGGTCGTGAATTCAAAGAAAAATTAAACAAGATAACGTGTAGTCCCTTTATGTGCAAATGAAACCACTCAAAAATCCAACAAACAATAATATTATTTTGTGTACATACAATGTTATGTAAAATATGTAAAATGTCACTGCTAAGAGCTTGGTTGTTTTGGTGAATCTGATACCTAGTATGTACCTTTCCAATCTGGAGCTGTTCAATGGGTGTTGGGGTTTCACTTTCGTGAACTGGAGCTCTTGGTGTTGTTTCCTGTTTCCAGGAAGAGGCTAGATTGCTGGGGTGACGTCACTCCAGCTGATCCAGACTCCAAACAGTGATCTTTAGGTAGAGTAGGTACCCAGAAAAGAATAAAGCAGTATCAGGTTCACCAATATTTGGAATATTAAATCCCTGAATTCTGTCGAAAGAGTGAGAGTCTTCCAAAGGACATTGAAATTGAAATTCAGTAAAAAATGATTGTTATACAGACACTCCCTTCCAACAGAATCAGGTATGAACAGATTATTGCAAGTTGAAAAAAAAAATATTTTATTAAAAAAACAATTAGGTACTTAAATAATTAAAATCAATGATAAGATAATAGAAAAAAAATAAGGTAATATCAAGAATAAATTAGAATGATCGTTACAATAATTGTGCAAAATGCTGCTTCCTTGAAAAACAGCTCTGGCAGGCAAAAATACAAGAAAAAATATGAGCAAAAATAAGGTAAGTAAAAAAATTAAGATATCAAATGTCTGGATTTTAAGATATCAAATGTCTGGATTCCTCCCCAAATAGACAAAATTCTCCACTCGAATTGGAATTAAGTTAGCTACCACAGATACTAGATAAACCTAGGGTTGAAATTAATCAAATCCAGAGCGTGTCAAAATTCTTGAGATGTTTTAATTAAAACTTTCAAACTGAACCTTTGACCTATCTGGATTTCTATTTAAAAAAAACACCCTTTAGTTAAGATATTTAAGATAAGATAAGATAAGATAATTTAGGGAGTCGAGCAGAAAATGGTTGTTCAGGCCTCTGCCTGGATTCAATAAAGGATTAATGGGGTGGACTCACAAATTTGGTTTTCACCGACTCTATTTAGAGCAAAATGGTCCAGTTTTCCCACACTAAAAATTGATTCTGAAAGCCAGAGCAGCAGTACCTATTTAAAACCAAAAAAACTGTCTTGTCTTGACTTACCAATTAGGTATAACAAAACGTGGCACTAACCAATAAGCAAAGTAATTCACACAAAATGGAAGCCAACAATTAGATAAAAAAAATTTAAAATATAATATTTATATTTCAAAAAACAGATAAGATAAGGTTTATCAGTAAAAACTTAATAAAGATACGATAACTTGAATATTGAAAATCTATAGGGGAGTATCCAGAAATTCAGAGCACATTTATTTAATAAAAAAGAGGACTTGCCTGGCCAGACTGTTCTTCAAGAAGAGAACGTTTTAGAGAACCAAGCTAGCAGGAAAACGAACCTGTGTTTTTTATACTTACTGCATTCCAGCCAGTTTGAACCAATCAAACGAGTACACTCGAAAAGACCATATTCACTTCAAAATGAAAACACAATGAAAACCGCATGGAATAAACGAAAATAGTTAAAAAATCCACTAAAACTATTTTAATTGTTTACAAAGGACCCCGCACAAATCTTATGTAAATCCGGTCCCAGTAGAAACCGCTGAATTTTTTATATGTTGTAGTTTATGACCTGCTGATCAATTGCTCTCATGGCCGCAAAAAAATTTATCGAGCCGAGATATGAGCTATCAAAGTTGGGATTTAATGATATTATGTAAATGGCAAATAAATGTCAAAAACCATTTCTCCGTATTTTATAACGTACGTTTTTATCAATATTAGGCGAAACACAATATAACATTGATATTCTCATACCATGCTGTTTCATAAGCAAAAAAAAAACGCAATCTACAGTGTCTCTCGAAAGTGACAGAAAAATATATATATTTTTTCCGTTTTTTTTTTTTTCTAAGTTTAAAAAACTGTCCAGGCATATTTTTGAGGTCAAAATAGTTTTTTTCTACAACTGTCAAAAAATGATGATGTTTGCACACTGAACAATTTGCGAAGTGACACTTTTTTTCCCAGGTATGGATTTTTTAACGTTCTCATGACGCCATGCGCGAACTAGCTATTTCGCACACACGTGTGCGAAATAGCTAGTTCGCACACTGGTGTCATGATGACATATACCTGTCAGGACACCAAAAATAATTAAAATTCACCTGCCTTTGATTGTAAATGCTATTCAGGCTTCGAATGATAGATATTTAAATGGAGTTGTAGAAAAAATATTGTTTGCAACTCGTGCGCGAAATACTTTGGTGATCTCGACTATTTTTTTAACTCGGCTGCGCCTCGTTAAAAAAATCACTTCTCGATCACCAAAGTAGCATTTCGCGCACTAGATACAAAAATTACTATTTTTTTATCAGCCACAGGATCTGTTACCTACCAAAATACTGGGTACTACAAGAAATTAAATCATTTTTTAACATTGGAAATGTTTATGTTCTCGCGTATATGGGGATCAAATACGAAGTTTTCGTTCCAGGTCAAAAGACGGCGGTGTCGCCAGTGGCGTGCGGTGAATTAACCCGAAGAGTGTCACAGTAGGCGCAGTGCTTGATGCGCCTTGCTGGCAAACAGCAGCGCGCGGAAAGGGTTATATCGTTATCTGGGCGGTCAAAATTGAAAAAAATAAATAAATGGGGATTATGGGATAATGGGACAAAATTATAGCATTTAGCGTTCGTTCTATAATAGATATTTACGATACAAGTGAGCTAAACGCATACTTAAGAAACGCATGTGGAAGTTGCACAACGAGTGCGTAGCACGAGTTGTGTATCTCACTGACGTAGATAAATATATATGTGTTAAATAGGTTTCATATAATGGTGTTATCATTTCTAATGTCTCAGATGGTTGCAAGGATTGCGAAGTCTGTGATTTTTCTTATAACTGTATATTATTGAGAGTCGGTTTAATCGTTGAACTACTCTTTATGGTTGTTATGAATTTTGTTTACATGAACAACACTCATTTTGACTTTTATCGATATTAATGACTTTTAGTTGAAATTGACGAAATTGTGTGTCGACATCGTTGATTTTTACGTGTTAATTAAAAGATCGTTGCGCTTTAATTATAAATTGTTCTTATTATTGTTAGTATTGTTTTAGTTCATTATTTCTTGTTTATTATTTTTTCGTTTCGGCTTAGTCATTATATTTATTTGTTAAAAAGTTCTATTGGATTTTTGGATCTATTTTATTTGGTAAGTGAAGTTCAATCCAACTAAGAAAAAGACATCAGCTAGTCATCGTCTGTCTCACTTCGCGAAACAACTAGGAATATTGTAAAGTGAGACAGACCGATGACCACTAGATGTAGATGACCCGTGTGGCTTTTTCCTTTAGACCCAACTATACCTGCTTTTATTGATTTTAGATAGTGGGCAAAATAATTATAATAATGAACCGTTTTGGAGACAGAATTCATATGATGTGCTTTCTGTGCAATACAGTAAGTAGGCCGAGTAAAAACCATGAAAAGAATTGATGGTGAAAACAATGCTGTCAAACGACAAATAGCCTTGACTAGACGAGAAGCTACTGGAAGGCCGCTTATACAAGTATCGGAATGGACCAGGTCATGCATAAATTGTTACAATTCTATTGTTAACGAAATTCAACTAATTGAAGACGATCGAACTTGTTTGAGGTTAAACGTGTTAAAGCAGACTACCAATAGCACTTGTTTAATTTGCAATGATATCGAAAATTTACAGCGTTTAAGTATAGAATGCCGAGTAGAAGTTTTTGTTACCGAAAATATCTATATATCGGAAAATGTCAGGTCGTGCATTCATCATCTAGATGAAAACGGAATTATTCTCAGGCCTCTACTTGGAGGTTTAGAGTATGTCAACAGACCATACGTTATTAAAGGTCCACAGCTCAGTGAATTTTTGCAGGGGCTCAGAAAAAGGCACAACACCAAAAAATGGGAATTTATCGACGTATCTAGTTTTACTGCTGAGGAATTTGCATCTTTGTCTCCTATTAATAAGGATCAATTCCGAGATCTCTTCAACTACTGCAATCCTATAAATGTTGGGAATAGAAATATTTCGCAAAAGCACCTCTTAACATTTTTATGCAAAATGAAGCAAGGTATTTCGGACGACTTCCTAAAAGTTATTTTCAATTATAACACTAGACAAGCAGTAAGTTTAGCAATAAGCACAGTTCGCGAATGCTTGATGGGCCGGTTTGTTGATGAAAATATAGGAATTAATTCTATTACACGGCAACTGTTCATCGACCGCCATGTTACTGATTTTGCAAATCAGTTATATAACCCCGATCCAGAAGACAGAAAAGCAATAGTTTATATTGACGGAACATACAGTTCAATACAAAATAGTTCAAATTTTCAGGCCCTAAGACAATCTTTTTGTGTTCACAAAGGCAAACATTTGGTAAAGCCAATTTTAATTGTGGCCACCAATGGATACATTTTAGATATACATGGCCCATACTCTTCTGACCATGGTATTAATGATGCATCCATAATGACTTCAGAATTTCAAAATGACATGAATGGGATTAGACGCTGGTTCCAAGAGGGAGATATTTTTATTGTAGATAGAGGATATCGTGATGCTATTGGCGTGATGGACGCGCTGGGCTTAGAGCACAGAATGCCGTGCAGTGTTAGGCCTGGACAACGACAACTCTCTACGGAGGAAGCCAATGAATCACGCTTGGTAACAAAAACACGTTGGATCGTGGAAGCCAGAAATGGGCATTTCAAATCAAAATTCAAATTTTTTTCTGAGACAATTATAATGCCCCACGTTATCAATT